ACACATCTATTTAAAAGACGAATGGCATGCACCTGAACAGATAGACTGGTAACCTGTATTGGCAGGATCTAATCCTACACCTTAGAAAATGGGAGTAAGTAGCATAACATCTATTACTCACCCTCCTCCTTCCACAAAGGACGGGGTGGGGTGAGGAGAAAATGAAGAGAAACTGTAGGGAAAGGTAACCATAAAAATTAGAATTCATTAACTCAACTTCAATTCCTAAGTTAGAACAACCTTCATTTACCCATAAAAACTTGTAGCAAGAACGGGATTAGTATGCATTCTAAAACACTGAAATAAAACATTTTCTATAAATCTACATAAATCTCATCTATAGTAAAAGTTTTCACCTTCTTTTTACCTTTCATTCTTTAAAATGTAATTTCATTGACAAGATGTAAGAAAAAAGCAACAAGAACAACAACAACAAAAAAACCCAGACACAAAAAGTGCCTTGGATCAGAAAAACAAAAAGTTCTCACTATTGCCTTAATTTTTTGATAAGCTTTAAATTTTCTAACCACAAAAGTTAAGTCCTTTCCCACAATTTTTTTTAAACTGCTGATCACTTTTCAGCCTGACATCATGTTTATGTTTTCTTCAAAGATTTTACTTTCTAGGAACCTTCTAAATAATTTACCACACATCATTCAAGTCTCCTCCATACTGCACCTTGGAACATAGCTACCCCTCTGAAAGTGGCCATTTAATACTTTCTGCCTGGTAAACACCTAGAACTTTGTGGAATGTCCACATACCTTTATATGCTCCCTAGGGTATGGATATAATTTAGATTCTAAACCCAAAGAAGGGTTTATATTAAGCAATTAATTCAGTTTTAATCAACATATTTTATGTAATCAAGCTTGACTTTTTAAGAAGTAACTGGAAGCCAGTTTAGATTTTTTTCTCATATTCCACTTATTTCTACAAACTTTCTAAAGTTGGAACTTCTAGTCTATTCTTAAACTGAAGATTTATAAAATGCTGCTGAAAGTTCAATAAAATTCACAGGAAAAGATCTACCCATTAGACATAAAATGCAAGAGTAAGAAGATTATTTTATGCTCCCACAACATCTAGAACAGTAGTGTGTACAGAAAGGACTTTTGACTATAATAAGCTAAAAACCAGTCTAAAGATTAATTTTTTCACAGGTTAGTATATGTCAAGAAAAGTTCTTACTGCTCCCAAAGGTTCTAGCAGCAAGTAACTAAAGCCTTTACCATCTGCAACTTCTCAAGGCTACTGTAAAATGATATACAAATACAGCAAACATTTTAAATTACATTTTAAGCCTTCATCTAGGGCAGTGTTTCACAAACTAAGAACTATATTCTATTAGTGGGTCCAAAATCAATGAGTCCAAACTAGCAAACGAAGAAAGGAAGGGGAGAGAAGGGAGATGAAATACAACAAAATGTCAACGTGCATCACAGGTAGTATGGGCAAGTATTATTTCAAGAGCTTTGTCTTGTTCTTTTTACTGGCAGTGACATAAAATGTATTTTAATGGATCTGAATGAAAAAAAAAAGAGAGAGATTAGCAAACACTGATCTGGGAGACAAACAATCAGAAAAGGATAAATCAATGGAACTGCCATAACCACTAAATTATGGCTTGGGAGGTGATTAGGACTAACAGCTTCTTTTGAGAAGGAGTCAGTTTGGGAAATCTCTACATATCTTAAAAGCCAGATATTCCCAAGTGAGACGTGAAGAAGCACCTTCCTCACTTACAGCAGGCCTAAAACAATGCCCAGCAAAGCTCGCAGTCATCCCACTAAACGTTATCCCTTCAAACTTCCAATAACAGCAGAAGTTAACCTTCACCTTCTCCTAACTCTCAGGAACACAGTGCAGGTAAGTTAATGAAAGATAATTATTGGTCTGTGAACAACTAGTCCTAGAAAACATTAACTGCATTCCATATCATAATTTAGAGTTTCAGATAAGGCTTTGGCATTCAGAAAAGCAACTTGAAAGTAAAACAGTCACACTATTCCACTAAAATGGTCACATTTAATAGTCACATTCTCCACTAAAATGGTCATGTGAAGAGAATAAACATCAGGAGGGAGGTGCCAAGACGATGTTGTAGAGAGACTCACAGCTCGCCCTCTCCCACAAATACACCAGTAATTACATGTACAAACCCGCTGAATCACACAGAACACCTACTGAACACTGGTAGAGTGTTTCTCGCTTCAAAATACAGGATTCTCACAAAATCCGATAAACAACAGATTCATACCGTATAGCACAAGGAAATATATTCAATATCTTGTAGAAACTTATGGTGAAAAAGAATGTAAAAAACAAATGTATGTATGTTCATGAATGACTGAAGCATTATGCTGTACATCAGAAACTGAAACACATTGTAAACTGACTATACTTCAAAAAAAAGATACAAAAAAACAAACAAAAAAGAATAAACATCAAAGTAAAGATTTTTTAAAGTATATGAAATATTCCAAATATTCAAGGCATGACTTAGAGTCCTTTAACACTGCAATTATAGATAAGAAAAGAGTCACTCTGTGAAGAGTGAGTATCAAAATCGCCCAAACATTGGCCAATTAACCTGCATTTTTTCACTGGGTCTATGTTAAGAGTTACTCTGATCATTCAGTTGCTTTAACAGGGGTTCCTAATTATTTCTGAAGCCACTTAAAAAAAATACACACACTTTTTGATGTATGAGGGACAGTTTAATAAATTATAGCTAATGTGTTCTAAAGGTTCAGAAAAGGCGATGGCTATCTCTCAGGATGCATCTGCTACTCATCACAATTACTGCATATTCAAGTAAAACAAATCCCACCCCCTCATACTACTGTTACAGCTTTTTTCCTCTAATATAAATCCCCATACAACTGAAGAGACAGAAGAAGACAAAGTGCAGCAATAAAGAGAATTTATTCAATTGCAGAGTGAAGGATTCCTCTAATCTCTGCTTACTCTTTAATGTTCAGCCCGGCTCACTATCTTTTTCTTTATACTTTTAAAATTTGCTGTGTGGCTTGAGATATCAACCCTTGGCATAATTACTTGCTAATTTTACAATCTCACCCCATATTGTTGGAAAAAGGAGTTTTAGTTTTTGCCTACGAACAATTCCTCACTAAACACAAAATTCCTAAAACATAAATCTCTGATAAGCACCTACCAGAAAGTCGTTTTGTGTACAATTACAAAGGAGTGCACCAAGACAAATTATGGGGTTCACAGCCTCTTATCCCTAGAAGCAAAAAGACTTTTAGTCCAAACATTAACGACATAGCTTTTAATGAAAGAAGAGCTAAGAGAATCCATTTATTTATCCATTCTGATCAGATATTACTAAAGCTCAATTCTGATTATAGGACAGGACAAAGCTCGACACTCTCAATCACCCTAGATTAAAGATGCCTCTCACTTTCTTCTCTCTCCTGGGCCATTACACCAAACTTAGAGCACAACTAGACCCACCTTCAGGCTAGAAAAAACACATAATAGCTTATTGATCTCTGGTGCAGACCCAAACCCACAAGTCCACCAGGCGAGTAGGGATCACAGCCACTTGATACAACTAACAATCAGAAGTCATGCACTGGGTTTTCTGGTCACAAATAAGCATACCATTGGCAATTACCACATCAAATGTGGACCAACTCTTCTCCTTCTCCCAAACAAAAACAGTAATATATTAATCAGGTCTGGGAGTAATACATCTGGAATCACACAGAAAAACTACTATTTCTTGGTTGTCAGTAAATGCCAATTTCAGTTCATCAACTTCTTCATTCCGTGAAATTTCTCAGGTTTTAAAAGTCACCATCACATTCAAGTCCACATATAAATACTTTTCAAAGAGACACTACTTGCTCGTAAGTTACGTGTTGCCTGAACTCCAGCCCACCACCATTAGTGGAATTAATGTTTGTGGCAAATGACTTAGACTTTTTAAAAGTAGAATTTACCAAAAAATTGATAACTTCTAATTATTTTCCTCTGAAGAATTCAAAGCACCACTCCGAAAAGTAAAGGTTAACTGTGTTCTCTGGAACTGTGTTCTCAGCTATTTAATGTTTTTAACTGATGAACCAAGAACAGTCAAGTCAGAAGTGGAACTCAAGTCTCTCAAGGAATGAATGTTCTTTACAATTAATTCCATGTAGCTCTTGTTCTGACCTCGGTGTAATACATAAAGCTTGGTTCTAGTCTCAGCCCTCTCTTAACCTCAAAGGAATATATGTAACACAACCCACAGATTGGAATAAAGCAACTGTGACAACATTTGCAGACAGTGATGGATGAAATGACAAACGAACTAGGAGTCTGGGCAGACACGTACGCCCTAAGAGGGAGAGACTGAGGTGGGGCTGGAAACTATTTTCTGGCCTTCTTCCGCGCGCTGCTCCAGGAGAAGGGACAGGATCCTGCACGCCCGGGATCAGCAGAGCGTCGGCCCCCGAGGTGCAAGGATGGAAGACGATAGCGGGCTGCTTTTTCAGGGAGTGGGGAAGGTGGGGGATCCGTGCGGTGTGAATTTCACTGGGAAGAGAACTTCCTGACCCCGGGAGGGTCGGGGTGGCAGAACCCTCCGGGCCAGCGGCGAGGGCGACCTCCCCTTCTTTCTCCCACAGTCGCACATCTTTGTGCGTGTGGAGTATGCAAGGGGCTACGAGTCCTCGAAGAGCCGGCCGCCGGGGCCCTCTAGCCCAGGTCGGTAAGTCCGCCCGCCACACTCTCGCTCCCGGGGGGCTCCCCTAGCCCGGACGCCCAAGCCCCCCTCCAACACCCTGAGGGTCTGGAAGCGGGCGAGTGGACCAAAGCATCTTTGTGTGGGGACACCCCTTCCGCTGCATCCATCCCTCGCCGGGTCTTTGTCCCTCTGGGGGCCGGAGTCTCTCCCCGGTTCTTCGGGGAGCCCCCGTCCTGGAGGCCTCGGGGCCCAGGGTCGCCCCAGCTTTGTTCGGTCAGCGGGGTGCGGAGACGCGGACACTTACCGTACACCCCGGCGAAGAAAAGCAAGACCAGCGCAGACCTCCACCGCGGAGACTCTTTGTGCTCCAGCGACGGGCCATAACCACAGCAGATGGAGGGAG